TGTGTGTGTGTGTGTGTGTTCCTCCTTTCATTTGTCTATAGTTTCTGAAGGCCAAAATTTATATTACTGATACAAACACAAGAACAGTCTAGATAAGACTTTGTATGCACTGCAGATCTTATCTCTGACACAGATACACATTTTCCCCTCAGGACACCTTTAGCTGCATTCCATAAGCACTGGTGAGTTTTCATTCCCAGCAAGCAGAAGACACTTGTCTAACTACCTTGTGGTTTCATTAACCAGTTTGTCATTTCCAGAGATCTTTTAACTTCCTTTTTTTTTGTTTTTTTTTTTGTTTTTTTTTTTTGTTTTTTTTGTTTTTGTTTTGTTTTTCGAGACAGGGTTTCTCTGTATAGCTCTGGCTGTCTTGGAACTCACTCTGTAGACCAGGCTGGCCTCAAACTCAGAAATCCGCCTGCCTCTGCCTCCCAAGTGCTGGGATTAAAGGCGTGCCCGGCTAACTTCCTAATATTTATTCATTTCCAAAATTCCCTTCCATTGTTAAATTCTGACTTAGTTAGATTGTGTTTGGAGAACACAGTTTATATGGTTTCAATCTGTTTGCATTTGTTGCGATTTGTTTTATGGCCTGATTTACTGTCTACCTTGGGAAATGGTCCATATCTGCTCAAAAAGAGTGTGAAGTTTGCCTTTGTTGGATGGAATGATCAGAAGATATTAGTTACATCAGTTGATTGGTAATACTGCTTAAACTTTACGGCTAAGTATTTTGGAGATGTGGTATAAATGATCATTTTTGCTTTAATTCTTTGTATTATTAAACATCTGCTTTCACAATATGAAAATAACCAGCTCTTTGTTCACTGTCTGCTTTTCTTGTCCATTTCCATGCTTTGTTTTGGGGTCTTCTCACATGCGTCATTGCTAAGAAGCATGTAGGTGACTTGCCTTTGTGGTCCAGTCTGCCATGTTCCTTCTGCCTGAGGTGATGAGACCCTTCAGTTGTAATGTCAGTTATACTTGCCATTTTGGACTTTTTATGTATATCTGTTTCTTTTTTTCTGTCCCTTTACTTCCTTATTTTGTAACAAATAAGTATTTCTTCATAGCATTTTGACTCCTACAGATTTCTTAGTCGTTTTCTTATTGACTTCATTAAGGTTATAATACATGTGGCAATTTGCCCCTGGGGACTTCTAGCTAGTGTGCACTGAATTCTGGGAAAATACAAACCCCTTGCCCTTGCCTAGCTCTATTGGCCCCCCGCTCTTATCTGTGCTAATGTATGTATATAGTAATGTGGAATAAACACAACTATAGATGGGTAATATTTTTACACAATTGTATGTCTTTTTCAAAAGTCCAGGGACTAGATAGAAATGGGAGGAGAGCCCATGATATTAACTCACATATTTATCATTTATGGCAGTTTTCATTTCTTCCTGTGGACTCTGATTACCATCTGCTTTCAATCCCTTTCTGCCCAGAGGACTTTTTATAAAGTCTTGTAAGACAAGTCTTCGAGCCATCAGTGCTGTTGGTCCTTTTATCCACTGACTTATATTTTAATCTGGGACTGTCTTTATTTAGCTTTTGTTTGAAGGATATTTTTGATTACTGTGGAATTCTTCTCTTGGCAGGTTTAGTGTTTTCTCACCCAGTCCTGTTTAATAAGCCCTTTTGGTTTCCATTATCTTATAAGAAAAAGCAGAGTTGAAGTTGATGTCCTTTCTAAATGTGCAGAGTCGTTTCTCTTTTGTGGCTGTGTGTGTGTGTGTGTGTGTGTGTGTGTGTGCACGCATGCGCACGTCAGCAGTGGATGAAAGCCTTACTTGTTTGAATCACATGCGTGTGGAAGCCAGGGGTCAATGTTGCCTGTCTTTCTCAGCCAATCTCCACCTGAATTTTTTTTAAAAAAAAGATTTATTTACTTTATTTATGAGTACACTGTAGCTGTCTTCAGACACACCAGAAGAGGGCATTGAATCTCATTACGGATGGTTGTGAGCCACCATGTGGTTGCTGGGATTTGAACTCAGGACCTCTGGAAGAGCAGTCAGTGCTCTTAACCACTGAGCCATCTCTCCAGCCCCTCTACCTGAATTTTTGAGACAGGGTTTCTCACTCAATCTGTAGCTCTTCCACTCAGCTAGGCAAACTGCACAGTAAGCTACAGGGTCTGCCTGTGTCGGTCTCCCCACTGCTGGGTTCTAGGTACAAACTGCCATGTGTCTGGCTTATATTACATGAGTACTAGGGACTTGAACTTAGTTCCTCATGTCTATTTGACAGAGAGTTTACTGCCTCAGCTATCTCCCCATAATCCAGTTTTTTATTCTGATTCTTGCTTTTCTTTTTAGGGATATCATCCTTAGGGCTAGTCCTGGGTCTGTATTTCAGTAGTCAATGACTGCCTGAGCTGATATAACTTCAGGCGAGTAAGGCTTTCATCCACTGCTAACATCCAGCAATAGGCATGAGAACAGACTTAGATTATCAGGGCATTTTTAAGTCTACTCCAGCATTTCCGCTCTGCTCAGCCCTTCTGGTTTGTCTACCTGTGTGTGCAGCTTGGGAAGCCACCCAGAATTGTGTATTTTGGCTTGTGCCATCATCTGGTCTCTGCTGCCCGTACGTGCAGCCCCAGCCAGAAATATGCTTACCCTAACCATGACCAGAATCTCCGACTAATAGAGTTGTTCACCTCCATGCTCAACGACTGCCAAAGGCAGCCTTTCACGTGTGCCATTGCAGGTGTGTGCCTCTGATCCAGACCCAAGAAAGTCCCCTGGCTTCAGCCATATGTACCACTGTCCTCCCTGACAGTTTGTCACACTCCAGCAGAGCTGGGTTGGTGTGCTCTGAAGCACCCTGGCTAAGGCATGGCTAAGGCGCTGCCCTTTGGCTCTTCTTATCCAGCATTCGATAGTTTGGTTTGTCCATTGACTCCTGTGACGAGGTAGTCCTTGAAGTTTCATGCTCACATCCTGCCCAGTGCTAAGACTACAGGCATACTCCACCACATCAGGTTATTCCATAATTTCAAATTCAGGCTATCGTTTTAAGCCCGGATCCTGATCCTTAGCACATGTTTTTGGTTTTCTACCATTCTCTGTAGCTGCCATATTGATTTACAAGTATTCCTTCGCTTAGAACTCAGGACAATACATTTTCACCTTCCTTATTCTAGCGTTAAAATTAAGGACGTCCTCAAGTGTAAGAGATCCTGGCGGCGACACAGAGGAAGAAAGTTGGGTTCAGAGGGAAAGGCATTAGCCAAGACTAGACAATGAGTCAGTGAGTCAGCCTGAATGTGACCTTGGGTCTTCTGCTTCCCAGGTGAAGGCTTGAGTACACCACCCATCTGATTTCCCACTTCATCCCTAGTACTAGGTCCTCCTTACCGCTAGAGGACGCAGGTGTCATCATAAAGGGATAACAAGTTTCTTTAAAAGGGAATTTAAAGTTTGGCTTATGGCAGTTGTATACATTCTTTTGTTCTAATTATAGCACGATTAATCTGACTCTAATAGATAACTATTAATAATTCATATAATTATCTTTAATAATAAATTTATGTTTAAAAACGTCCATTTGTATTGCTTTTTTTCAGGGACTTCCCTTCAGTTCTGGAGTTTGGTTAAAGCTTATAGCAGATTATTAAAGCTTTCACAAATGGAGATTTAATCAGGCAAATTTTTTTTTAAAGAAATAAGGATCAGTTTCCCATGAAAGAAGGTGTCAAAGAATTAATAACATTCAAATAAGTAGATATGTGTGCATCAGAGTTACAAGAAGAAGACTAAAAACCTTCTATAAGGCCAGGAAACCCTTCTACCTCAGCAAAACGTGCTTTCAGATCCTCCAGGGCCAGATCTCTTGGTTCTGTCATGGCTTTCCCTTGTTGTTATGTCCTTTGTTGGACACACGAATGTCCAGTTCAAAACAGAGCATGTGATGGAGTCATTCTCCCTCTGGCTGTACACTGTGACCAAGGGGATGGAAGATATGAAAGTACCTTCCGCTGGCTCCCTGGCTCCCTAGCTCGCTGCCCGCCCCCCCACTCCCCGGCCCCCCGGCTCCCCAGCCCTCTGGCTCCCTGGCCCCACGGCTTTTGGTTAGTTTGGACAAAGGAAGATAGTAGCAAGAAAAGTGGAGATTTGGCAGATTCGACTCTGGTTTGGCAGTGATCATGTTCTACTTAACACCCAACACAGTTGGTGATTTTCTGCTGAGGCTGCAGACTTCACAGTGTCCTGGACAGGTTCCTGTGTCTCCTCAGGCTCAAACATGGGACCTGCTTGCCTTGTTGCTAGTTCTTGGTGTGTGCTGTGCTGCTGATGCAGGGGTACTAGCCTCTGATGTTCTTACTCACTCCTGACCTTGCTGTGCAAGCATGCTCTAGAGCAGTGATTCTAACTCTGTGGGTTGTGACCTCTCTGGGATCGAACCACTCTTTCACAGGGGTTGCCTAAGACAATCCGCATATCAGATATTTACATTATAATTCACAGCTAACAAAGTTGCAGTTATGAAATAATAAAAATAACTTTATGGTTGGATGTGACCAGGGCTTCCAGCTGCCGTCAGTTTGCTGTCCGCCCACCCCCAGGATTAACCATCCTCTGGAACCATGAGCCAGACGAAACCCTTTCTTCCTTAAGTTGCTTTTGGTGGGCATTTTGTTATAGCAAAGGGAAAAGTAGCTAATACATGGGCCAAATAAGGAATTTCTAAAACCTTGCAGGTGGGGCTGGCTTGGTTATTACTTGGTTATTACTTTGCTGTACGACCTTTCTACCCTCTGAGTTCAAGAGCTTCACCTGTTTAAAGTGCTTGCACACAATCAGAGGCCTTTGTGCATCGTTTTCCTGTGTGCCTTGAAAGGAACTGTGAGCAGTCTCCATAATGACATGCTTTTAAGACTGTATTGTTGTTTTAAATAGTTATAAAAGATACAACATGCTACAGCTAATAATTATTAATATTTCTTCAAATAGACCCAATACAATTTTAATATCCAATGTAATTTTTGGATGCAACCGATTAAGCCAACCAGGTTTCTTTACTCTAGGAGGCCTGGTCTGTAGTGGCTGTGAACAGCATCTTCCTTGGTAGGAAGGATAGCAAGCCTATTTTCTATGTGGATTGCCCTAAGAGACCTTGGAGGCAATGTTCTGATATATATTGTATCTCTGATCTCAGTGCTGTCTCCAGTGTAGGCTCCAGACAGATGGGTGGGGGTGCCCAAGGCACAATGGTAGGAGTCACACTGGCCAGGTCATCATGTCCATTCACCCAACCTGCAGAATGACATGTGACTGAGGCCCTGCATAGAGTCAAGTTTAAATTCCTCCACTACCAAAAGATCCATATCTCAAAGAAGTGGGGCTTCTCTAACACAGATACACTTAAAGATGTGATAGCTGAGAAACCACTCATCCGTCATAGCCAGGGTCAAATATATCCCCACCCATGCTCACCTGGATGCGCTGAACCCTAGGGCTTCTAACGGGGCTGTCCTCACACCCCCGTCAAACCATATTCGATAATAAATCTCACACCCAGTCTGAGGAAAAGCAAATAAAAACATATAGCTCTTTTTTTTATGGCACCTCCTAGACAGTTGGCTTAGTCAAGATGAAGCCCAGCATCTCCTTCCCAGCCACTGATCAAAAGCTCATCGAGGTGGATGATGGACGCCAGCTTTGGGTGTGTTATAAGAAGCACATGGGCACAGAAGTAGCTGCTGATGCCCTCGGTGGAGTAAAGGGTTGGGTGGTCCAGATCAGTGATGGGAGTGACAAACCAGGTTTCCCCATGAAGCAAGGTGTCTTGATCTATGGCAGTGCGCTCGCTGTTGAGTAAGGGGCATTCTTATAGACTGAGGTAGCTGGAGACAGGAAGCATAGGTCTGTCTGGGAATGCACTGCGAATACCAATCTGAGCATTCTCAACTTCACTATTATAAAACAAGGGAAGAAAGATATTCCCAGACTGCTGCTGTGAGGGCACCATTGTGCCTCAGTGATTGGGATCCCCAAGAGCTAGCAAAAGCCTAAAGCTTTTCAATTTCTCTAAAAAAAGATCATGTCCACCAATACGCTTTCAGAAAGCCCTTAAACAAAAGAAGAGAAGAAGTCCAAGACCAAACCATTCAAGAGTCCATGTCTTGTTATTTCACATGCCCTGTAACACAAACCCAGACAAATTGTTTTGAAGAATCAATGTGCTAATAAAAATAAGAAGGCTGTGGAATATGATAAACTCAGGACCAAGAGAAAGAAAGAAGCCAACAAAACTCACCAGAATCATCTTGACATCGCAGCTAAGTGGAATACTGTGTTTGTAAATGGAAATGTAAAAGTCTTATGTTTTCTGGGACCATAAGGCTTTCATATACATGAAACATATATAATAATGTGTATAATAAACATATATATATATATATGTGTGTGTGTGTGTATGTATATATATATACATATATATATATTTAATTGAGTCATTAATGCAATCAATTTGAGGACATTGTGAATCAAAATTTGAGTTATTGTTAAACAGGAAAAGTCAAATGAAAGGAAATATGGATCTCAATGAACAGGAAGGATATGGTGTCTCCATTAAAGGATTCTTTGCTCCCCAAAATATATGGAACCAGATATCTCCCTGCCCGAAACTCAGGTGTTTCCTCTCTCCCTACAGTAAGAATTGGGGTAGAGGGCTGGGGAGATGGCTCAATGAATAAGAAAAAGAAGCCTGCTAAATGAGCCTAAGGACCTGAGTTTGAATCTCCACATCCTGTGTAGAAACCCAGGCACAGCAGTGTGAACTTGCAATCCCAGCATTTGGAGGGAGCTGGTGGTAAGAGGCTCCCTGGAGCTTGCTGGCCAGACAGGCTAGCCAATCAGTGAGCTCCAGGTCCCCCAAAAATATGACAGACTAGTCAAGGAACACATGGAATATCAACCTTTGAGTTTTATGTGCACCTGCATGCACGTGCATACGTGCCCATACGTGTGTCCTCACCCTTCTTTCGTGAACATACATGAAAATAACTGGGTGGGAAACTGAGAAGGATGATGAAGGAGATAAGAAAAATAAACCAGTTCTGCTCCTTGCCCTGGGAGCCACAGGTAGTTGAGTTTCAGAAATTCTAGGCACAGATTCTCTTCAATTTCCTGTGCTGGCCTATGCCCTGGTTAACTGTGTCCCTGGAGAATACGGATGGCCCTGGAGTGAAGGCCCTGAGCCCGATGGTTTCTGAAGGGCATGGATGCATTAGATGGTTTCTCAGAGACCCATGGGTTGTGCTTGGGCAGTTCCTGTCACTGAATCATCTTGCTTCATTTTCACAGTCTGAAAAATGGAGATGCATACAGCTCTGCCTTGGGCCCCCCTCTCCTCTGTGTGCATGTGTGCATTGCCCAGAGGCCAATCTCAGGGGTATTTTTTCTTAGATGCTGTCCACTTGCCTTTTTGAGACAGCGTCTCTCACTGGCCTGGAACTCGCCAAGTAGCCTACCCAGGCTAACTCCTCAGCTAGACCCAGGAATCCAATTGTGTTCATCCCCTCAGACCTGACATAGCAAGTACATGCCTCCAGGCCAAGGTATTTTTTTTCTTTCCTTCTAATCTGGGTGTTAGGGACAGAACCCAGGTCCTTTGCTTGCAAGCGCTTTATCAACCAGACCATCTCCCTAGCCCATCGTGGGGATTCTTTGAGGGCTGACTGAGAAAACAACTATGAAGAACCAGTACGTGACAAATGCTTAAAGAAGAGTCAGAGGATTCTGAAGATCTCTCTCAACTGATGCACTCTGGGAAGGAAGCCAAGATCCCCTTTCCCTCCAGTCACCACCAAGCAGCCGCCTGTCTCCCTCTCTCAGCTCCCCCAGTGAAGGCAATGCTGTCACTGAGACTGTCTTGGCATCCCTGTGACAGAAAGCAGAGTGCCCGTTGGCTCACTTTCCTGTGTTTAGTTTTTGTTTGGGTTAAGTTTTTCCAACTACCAAGGCTTTTTTGATTTGAAATGCAAAGTTTACACCAGTCAGTATTTACTCACAGGTCCTGACCTTTCCTTCTTCAGGAGGGTGACCGCTCCTTGTGGCTCCCTCCAGAGAAGCCACAGACATGGATCTGGACATTGGGAGAGTGTTTTGGCAGACTTCCTAGGGTTCCCCCATTTCTCAGGGAGAGTATTATAATCAGCCTGTGTACAGGGTGTGTGAGCCCAGAAAATGACAGTTACTGCTTTCCAGAAACAGAAAGAAAATAGATACTCACTCGTGCCCTCCTGGAAGCACTAGGGTTGCCTAGGGGCCAACTTTGAATCAGGCAAGCCAACATTTGAGCTTTCTACAGGAGAAACAAAATGAGACACTGATATGCTAGGAAACTGTTATTGCCTGCTCTGATTCACATGCACACGAACTTCATTGCTCAGGCTCTGGCAGAGTGACTGGTGCTGACTGCCTCCTTACCTCCAGAACGGGGATCTCGCTAGCTGAGCTCCGCACTCTCAAGGTAGTTTCCTGCAAGTGCAGAGGGAAGCCTGTTTCCTTTCTCTAAAGAACCCACTTGTGCACATGGTTCCTCCAGTGGCCCCCTTATTCACTGCCCTTCAGAGCTCAACTATAATTTACCGGCCCTCGGGGCGCTTTATCTAAATGACTTTTTACTTGAAATTTTGTTCTGAGGCAGGTATGAGAGTTTGGTCTATAAGGTGCTTGCTGTGCAAGTATGAGGATCTTCGTTCAATCCCGACATTACCTATATAAAAAGATGGATGTGGGACATGTGCTCGGGGACATGTGATGGGTGGATCCCTAGGGCTTGTCAGACTAGCCCAATCAGGAAGCCAGTGAGAGACCCTGCTTCAAAATACGAGGTAGATGGTTCTTGGGGAGGAATGACACTTGAGCCTGTCCTCTGACCTTCATATGTAGCTGTACATACAAATGCATTCACACACATGGACATGCGTGTGTTCGTGTACAGAAATGCATACACACTTTTTGTTCTGTTCTTTAGTTAATAGAAATAATAAGCCACAGGTTGTGTGTATTCACAGCCCGTTTTCTTACCCTTCTCTGTTTCCATTCCTTGAGCGGTTTGACCACAACGTCCTTCCAACTGGACTTGGGTTCAGCTATGTGACTTGCTTTGCCCAATGGAAAGTTAGCAAAAGTGAATCCACTCAAAAGATTTCTGAGTGCACAGTGGGCTCATCTGCTTCTACCCCTCTGCCATTAGAGTTAACTCTAATGTGACCAAGACCAGCCAAAACCAAAACCTTTCAACCAACCTGCAGAATGATGAAGTTGTTTCTTATCTGACATCATGGTGCTTAAGGAAAGTTTATTGTACTGCATTGCTAGGTAATAGACTGTGTGTAGTATAGACAGTGCATAGGATAGGATAGGGTAGGGTAGGGTAGGGTAGGGTAGGGTAGG